ATGTGAATGGGGAAATGTGAGATTCTCATGGGAATGAAATTCACATTCCCCCGTTTGGTTGGTCGGGAATGTCATTCCCGGTAATCTTACATTACCAATAGTGGATTTTTTGGGATATATTACCGGGAATGTCATTACCTCCCTTTCCTTAGGTATTGTTGGATTACCGGCGTTTTGGACTAAAATGCCATTAAAAAAATTCTTTCAAAAATATCCTTATTCTGTCATTGAATAATAAAAATTATACGAAGGTTAAATTACAAATTTATTCTTAAACTATTTTAGATTTACAAAAAAAAATCTATAATTAAAATTTTATATGAAGTTCAGGGGTTAAAATAAAATTTTACCCTTTCATTAAACATTTTTTATATTTTTAATTTTGTAAAAAAAATTATATAAATTTTATGAATTTAAATTTTTTTAAAGAAAATATATAAATATTTTCCAACTTGTTAAAAAAACAAATATATAATAAGGACAATTTGATTAAATATACATTCCAATAATCTTTTATTCTTTTAACCAAACACGGTAACCTTATATTCCTACTAAACCAACCAAACACAAAATACAACATTTTCAGTAATCCTATTCCCTGGTAATCTTTTATTCCTACTGGTAATCTTACATTCCTTGAACCAAACGCACCTTTAGAGGATAACATTTACTGATAAGATTACACTAATTCAAATAAATTTATGTTTCGACTTCTACGATGATATAGTAGTTTGTATCATTTCCTTCATTTCTTTATTATTATCTGTAATAATCACTATTAATATATTTGTTTTACAGCAATAACTTTTACCAACATTCAACAGCTTCTCGATCCCTTCTTTCACTTCGTTTGTCCCTTCAACCATACGATCGAAGCATTCGGTTTTGTACTAAACTACAAGATTGATTTATACAGTCTAAGTTGGTTGCATCTACATGAAATGGAGACTGCAATGAAGGATGCTGTTATCTTCAAGGGCCTATTTTCAGTTTACAACCCTTTTAAGACGATACGAATCTCGGTTCTCTAGCACGGCTCCTCTTCCTGTAACTCGGAGAGTTTCAGGGTGGAAGGAGAGCCATGTTCACGTTCATCCGGGCTGTCCAGTCCGTCTCCCGTACTCCTTCGATCATCTTCGAGTCTTGGTGTTGATGGACTACCTCGGTCGCTTTGATTGCTGGTCATAAGTTTGTGAGGCTAAATATGTGAGGGCCGTCACGACTTCGCCTATTGGAGGCCTTGTAGCAGCTTCTTCCTGCAAACACATCGCTGCAACCGCAAGAGCTTGGAATAATCCTCGCATTGGAAAACGACCTTGCAGTAGTGGATCGACCATTTTCGGAAACTTCGTACGATCTTCAAAAAGTGGCCGTGCCTACAACCCCGATTTTCACAACAAGAAATTGTTTCAAGTTCATAACAGTCATAAATGGAACAAAACAGTCGAACTTCGGAACAATTCAGATGTTTGGAACCCTGGTAGGTTAGAAGAGAAAAGATACTTACCCATGCAACAAGATTCTGTTCTCCAGGAGCTCGCATATTATCAATGGCTTGGCGCCCTGTTATAAGCTCAAGAAAAACCACTCCGAAACTATAGACATCGGATTTTAGACTGAGCTGTCCAGTCATTCCATATTCTGGAGCAATATAACCAATAGTGCCCATCACACGTGTGGACACGTGCGTTTTGTCACCGACAGGACCCAGTTTCGCCAACCCAAAGTCCGATAACTTAGGGTGATAGCCCTCGTCAAGAAGGATGTTGGATGATTTTAAGTTCCTGTATATAACAGGTGGATCTGCCTTGTTGTGCAAGTATTCCAATCCCTTGGCTGCACCAGCTGCAATCTTCATTCTCGTATTCCAGTCCAGAGGTTCCTTGTCCGGTGGAAGATCTGACAACAAATATAAAACAAATAACTCATCGTGGTCCGTTTAGCAGCATAGCTGAAAGACGGAAAAGGAAACGACCATGCATATTCACATCAGCGTATACATGCTTTACAATTCACTTTCAGGAGTATTTCAAATTGACAGAGCAATTAAATCAAAAGCTAGAGTAATGGAAGTATCATGAACCCCAAAAAATCAGCATCCTTACCGTGTAAATGGGCCTCCAACGACCCTAACGGCATAAACTCATAGACAAGGAGCCGTTGGTCGCCATCGGAGCAATAACCAATTAAGGTCACAAGGTTCGGGTGGTGTAAGAGGCCAAGCATGAGAACTTCAACGAGAAATTCTCTGTTTCCCCGAAGGCCATATCTATCAAACTTTTTGACAGCAACTACCTGCAAACATAAAACAATTACCAAAGATTGCAATAGCACACAATGAGCATATTTTACGTCACTCGGGTCCCGAGTTTATAGATAAAGCGACTTGAGCGAAGTGACTAGCATAAGAACATGCTTAAAACATACAATCATCAGTAACGGACCTGTCCTGTATTCTCGAACCGTCCCTTGTAAACATGTACGAAATCCCCTTCTCCCAAAAGACATTCTGGCCTAAAGTTCTTTGTGGCAGTGGCAAGCTCTTGAAAAGTAAATATTCGTGCTGCATTATTTGCTGTCGGTCCATCTTTAGGAACTGCAGGTTCCTTCTTTGAATCAGAAGTACTCCGAGCTTTAGATTTGTCTGTTCGGAAGTGAATCGGATAAATTGGACAAGGTGAAACAAGGAAGATAGAGAACCATTGCAATTAAAATGGCAAAACAAAAGTTAAAAGCCCATGGTCATGTAGTTTTGCACAAAATGAGCACAGCACAAATGCTTGTTCCATGTTTACTTTTGCAACTAGTATGAAACCATAAATTTATGACTTTGACACTGCATTTTAAACTGGGAGTGGAAGAAGAAAACGGATCGGGCAAAGCTTTTGACCCTTTCTTCAATAAAATTGTTAGGAGTAGTAAGAAAAATAAATACAGCAAAATCAACACAAATAAGACATACAAGAAGGCGAGATTTAAAGTTGTTCGACCTTATCTGACAAAAACAACAATCATTATAAACATAAATATTACGAATAGTACAAATATATCCTCAAACTCACTACCATCTAAATCAATCGAACACTTTAAAACAACCATAAATGTATCAGATTGAACTAGCAAACTATGCTAACAACTGACTATAATAAAAAACTTGCATACAAAACCAAGATAAACACAGAACTCAAGATACCCCAGATGATCAAAAACTAACAATTTAAAACAAAACAAGAAGATAAAAGATTAAAATTTTGCTAGGAAAATGAAAAAAAATTTAAAATTGCCTGAGTCAACTCTATTAACATGATGGGATTGTCCAACCGAGGCATCTTTAATTGAATCTTTCATGCTTTGCTCTTTCAAAATGTTCCCACCATCATTATTAGTCCCCTTCTTGTGTGATGAATCAAAACAAGGAAAACACCCACTCATGATCAAATATCAAACGAAACCCAGAATTGAAAACCCAGACTTCAGAGAAAATTCTTCAAAAATATTACTTCAAACAATCTTCACTTTGACACTTTTCACAGGAAACTCGTCTATAAATTTCCTCGTAAAGACCATCCAAACTGCCAATTTAAGACAAAAGACGGAGACCCCAAAGTCACCGGTCAACAAATTGAAGAAAAAAGAGATTTGCATAAGAAGTAAACGAAACAAAGGAGCTGAAAAAAGTATTGTACGTGTGATTAGCCTATCCACCGATTAAGAGAGCGTAAATTTAGTTGCCATATTTGTTTTGGTTAAACGAACTTAACGATCATCCAACTTTTAGCGCGTTAGCATTTTGATCATTGTTTTTTTTAAATTTAACCCTTAACTTTTAAATAATTAATGTTTTAATTATCCAAATAATTAAAAACATTAAATTCCTTAATAAATACTAGTAGTTAAGATATAATTATATTTATTATGTTTAAAAATATTTGATTTCAGATATCAGATCGATAATCTATCGACTTGAAAAAAAATTAAATATTTTTTAAAATAATCTACTATTAGAATATCTTACCCGTTAAATATTACAGATAATTTTTTTATAAATTCATTATCAGATTTTTTTGTTCGAACCCGAGACCTCAAAAAACAATAACAATTCTTTTACCATCAACGTCACTTAATTCGTACCCTATACTATAATATTAGATTTAAACGAATATTCTCCATTATTTCACAATCTTCTTCAAGGGCACCTTTTGGCTGTGCATTCGATTCAAGGTATTTGCTTTTCTAAGACTTGTTATTTCACAATCCAACTTTTAACATTCACATCATCAAAATTCAAATTCATATTCTTATTTAAATAACCTAACACTTTATTCTGTTAAATCAACTACTAGTTTGATTCAAAACATGAAAAAAATTATCATGTTGTTCAATTAGACAGCAATTACTATTAACACATGGTCATCTCTCTGTTGCGGCTATTTGTTCTGCTTTTTATCAATAAAGGCCTAAGCCCTATACATAAAATTCATGTAAAAGCATAACTTTAATTATTACATTGTGATTTCATGATTTAAACATCATCATCATCATGTCAGACTGTTGCATTTTCATTCTATTATTGCTCTGTTTCTAAAAGCATTTGGACACATTTATCATATAAGCACTACCAGACAGCTAAAAAAGTAGTTAAAATGTAGAAAGAGTTGACAACTATAAAACATAATACTATCAACAGTGTTTCTGTCTGTGTTTGTGTGTGTGTGTATGTTTGTTAATGGGTAGACAGAGAAAATCTTAATGGGAAAGTGGAGACAATACATGTTTCTTCCTTTTTAGGAAGAAAGATAAAAGCTCTACTACAGGTGATGATCGAAAAAATCGATCAAAAGGGTTCGATTGAAAATCCAATGTCATTTCTCAAAGATAAAGACTTGCACGAGCAGTTTTTCGATACGATAAATATCACAGTATGAGAGGTTACAGAAGCTGAGGTCACCTTTTAAGAGTGATTACGTGAACAAACCGAACTAAACCCTAATTCAATCAATATTCAAAGAGCAATTCTCATGTATTTATATGTCATAAGAAACTTATCAAGCATTTCGATTGTCAAAACATAAACATATGTATCTAAAGATAACATTTTGATGCTTCCTAACTCTGATAAAAATGTTCATGTAAAGGGAACAATGGTGTGGGGATCGATCTTTTTGTTTTGAGAAAGATCGGACCGTAAACAAGCCTAACAGACTCTGAAAATTGGATGGGTCGACATGGTTTCCCCTAATGTAACTGAGGTCTTTGAGGGTTCTTCAGTGATTATTCGAAAGCAAAAGTGTAAGGGTTTTGCTAAAGTTTTCAAGGTATTTGCCATGGGCTTATTCGAGATGGAAGAGACGGCCATACAAGGGTTATACGAACATAGATGATCAGAGCCTGCCATGATAACAAAATTAAGCCCTCCTATTTTTTGAAAACTTCTGCATAAAATAATAATGTGTAGGTTCATGACCTTGATAAAAAGAATAGGGATCGAGGCCGGTGCTTCTCTTATCTATTAACTTGAAGTGTGGGCTTCGGTGCTGCCGCTGCCGGTAGGAGGGGCAAAACACTGAGTAGACTGTTGTGTGATTGAATGAGGAATGGCTGTACCTTTAGGAAAACCCGAACCAACTGATTCACTCAACGAGCTCACCGATGATGACATTATCGTGGGTGCAGGGTCCTTGATGGATCCAGAAAGAAGTTCTGGTCGTAAATTCAAAGAGGAGGATGAAGGAGCTAGGGTACCAATCATTGATCCCAAGGGATAGGGTACAGGCATATCGGAAACGGAAGACGTTGATGGACTGTAACTTAGTTTTTCCATAGGATGATCAAATTTGCAAGCAGGTCCGAACTTGCATACTCCTCGTCGTGAAAAATGAGTACAAGTTGGTTCCCCCTGATACCATTTAAGAAAAACAACAAATAATCAAATGAACAACAACTAACCGGGAAAAGACTCAAGTTATTTTATGCGTGATTAACATCAATAGGTCCTATCATAAATACATATCGCACACATAATGTACTAAATCGAAACCATATCATAAAACATTAAAAGACATTCATGTAACCGGACTATACCACCGAGTCTAAATATCAACTAGCTCGTTAAAAAGTTTGGCAGAATGACATCAAGAAAGAAACTCCAATTCAATGCACCGAATGCACTGATATCGTCTAATACATTGTTTGTTAAACATAGATAATATTCAGAACATGGCATTTTACAACCAACTTATTACAGAAACATTATCGAGTTGTTGCTAAAACAATTTGAGCAAAGAAAAAGCAAATTCATGCCGACCAGACTAGGACATTTTACGACCAGGTTTTTTATAGGACATATTTTTAAATCTAATCTTGTATAAAGCATCACATTTATAGTACATTTCATGAAATTCTTACCGGACGTAGAGGAAGACCAAGAGGGCAAAGGATGACATCTCCTTTTGGTGCAATCACTTCAGGTGGATGATGATATCTACAGGAGGATCCGTATTTACAATCACCCGTTTTCATATAATACCGACATTCAGGTTGGCCGGGTCTCTCGGGAAATTGCTGCTCCTCCAGATTACTTCTTGAAGGTCCAACACTATATGTTACAGATTGATAAGACCCAGTATAGGCAGGCGCTGAAGGGGATAATGGTTTTCCCCGGAAAATTGAGCTAGGTCCAACAGTGGTTTGAGAACCAGAAGAAACAGGTCCCTGCATCAAGTGCATTACAAACCTTAAAAATAAAAATTAATCAAGTGTAGTTACTATTGAGGTTAACTGAATAAGGTTTAAATTGTCCTACCGGGTAGGGATTCCAACTCGGAAAAGGAACCATGCCCGGGGAAAGTAGAAAAGGACCATAGGGGCCTTGCACATATGAGCCTGGCATTAGGGGAGGTCTAGTCATTAAAACTCCATATTGTTGAGAGGAAGGGCCGGATGGTGACTGCACCGTGGAATACAATGTAGGCGCAGGAACTGGTGAAGGCACAGATGGAACTCGAGGAGCAGGAGACAGTGACTGAACCTGCACAGCAGGTGGTGCAGGATGATTGAACTTACATGTAGCACCGAACTTACACCGCCCCGTCTTCACATAGTAAGAACACTCCTTTTCGCCCTGTTTTGCAGTATTCTTCAACTATTAATCAAAACTTAAGAATGCACATAAAAAAACTTAGGCGTTAATGTCGAGTGATACAAACCGAACGTAAAGGATATCCATAATAATTTAGTGGAACGTGGATAGCAGAACCACCTCCCTCCTTCGGATGATGGTACTTGCAGGAAGAACCAAATCTGCAAGACCCCATCCTCATATAATACTGCAAATCAATAAAGAGAAAAGAGCCATAATCAAACTACAGAGAAACCATTCACCAAAAGTACACGACCCTAACTCAATATCCTTCAAACTTAAATCAAAGTAGCATCAAGTTATCTAAGCAATGCACATTGTTGATATTGTACGATTTCGGCATACATATCTCAGATTTATCAAAAGCTTAACAAAGAATCTCATCAGAAGTACCTGACAAACCGGCTGGTTGACTCTCTCCGGATACTCCCCTACATCACCTCTTCCAGCTCTCATAACCTAAGGCAGTCAATTAATGTCACTGACTTCGCTTTTTGCTCACCGATCAAAACAAACGATCATCGAAAATCAAGATTACCAATTTCACTGGATCTCATATGAATAAACCAAAATCTATGATATTTTACCCTAAAATTCAAATTCAAAACCCCATCATTCTAAAGACCATGATCAAGCAAAAAAACCAATCAAAACCCTTCAAGGAAACATTGAGACAGATCAAAAGCAAAGAACAATTCAATCAAATTACGATAAATTTACCATAGCACGGTCACGTGGATGATTGAACCGACACCTAGAGCCGTAGCCACAAAACCCGGTCCTCAAATAGTAAATACAATCAACTTCGTTGGGTCTCTCTGGGTATGATTCCGGTTCAACCCCTAATTCCAACCGCCAACCCGGCTCTACATTACAAACAAAAAACCAGCATCACATCCCACATTACACAAAAACAAACCCCCAAATCAAAAGTCGGGATCTTCTTTTACCTTCAAGCCCTGTTTCGGGTCCCGGAGCTGACCATTTCGGTTCCGGATCGGACTCAGGGCCCCGCTCCATTAAACGTACGGAGAATTAACCCTAAGTGTAATACGATCAAATGGGTATCCGTATATTCTTCTCTAAACTACAAATAAGCAAAAAAGAAACAGAAAAAAAAAACAGAAACTTTCTCTCTCATTTTTTCATTACTTCCTTAAATACGACGAAAACAGACACACACACAGAGACGATGTTTTGTCTGTTATTCTTTTGAGGGTTGGTTTGGTTCTCTGTCTCTCTCTCTCTCTTCACTTTTTCTCTCACTGCTTCAGTTTCTCAAACTCTTCTTGTTTGATTTTGAGATTTCTGTTAGTACGAGATTCTTAATGGATCGGTATATATACGCGCCAAATAGAGGGAAAAGATTACCATAATAAAAAAGGTTAATTACTTTAATCAAGTGAGATTCTCTAATTATATTTAATGACAAAGTATTGAAAGTGACAAATATATCCTCTGCAATAAAGAGGTTTGTTGGAACGTGGGGTGGGCGTGAGCGCGTCACAAGGGTAATACTAAAATTTATGGTCTATTAATATTTGGGTAAACTACGTATTTAATCACTCCATTATTGTGTGGTTCTATTTTGGTCAAAATTTATTTTTAAAATTATATTTAAAAGTTACGCTTTGGTTCTCTTTTGGTCATCCATCATTAAAAACAAATAAAATTGTTGATATGATAATATTTTTATTTTTCAATGATGATGTGACATTATCTCATGGTGACACATCGACTTTACAATTAATTTTTTAACGGTGACAGACTAAAATAGAACCAAAGCGTAATGTTACGTATGATTTTGAAAAAAAGAAATAGTTAGGTGAGCAAAACAAAACTACAAGAATATGTAAGTGACTAAATACATATTTTATCATAATATTTTCCTCTCAATTTAAAAAAATAATTTATAAAATTTATCAATATTTTAATAGTTATAGGTGATTATAATACAATATTTATTCAAAATATTTCTTAACAGTTAATTACGCGCACATGTTTGCTTTGTTAATAAGATTATTACTAAATATATAGTTGTTGGCTTTTCTCAAAACAAAATCAACCAACATTATTTATTTTGTTTAATTGTTTAACTAAATTGGAATTTAGTTTAATTTTAAATAGATACAACTTAACTCTTAGAGCTTTATTTATTTTTATTACATTTGAATTTTAATCTTTATTTTTTAAAATCAATTTATTATGATTTTAACAGAAATGATAATTATTTTTTTATAAAAAAATATTAATGTGACAATTCATGTGATAATCCATGTATACTTTATTACTGACTAGATATTATTTTATGAACGTGACAACATACATCACTTTATAGTATATTCTAATAAATTATTTTCTAAAATTAATTAATTTTATATTTTTTAAATTATTATTTAAATTGGTATTGTAACACGTCAATACAAAGTTTATCATGTGAATTGTCACATTAATTTTATAAAATTTAACAATATAATCATAATTTTATTAAAAATATAAATTTAAGTAAACAAGATTGAATGTTAAATTAACAAAAAGATAAATATTATCATTAAGCTTTTTAAATATGCCTTAGACGCGGTAGATTTATTTTTTAAACCCTATTTTGTGTGGGCCTAATTTGACATAGCAAAAATCTTTATTTAGAAGTATTCACTGTCTAAAATTATTATATCTTTTATCAATTAAATTTTAATTTAATTGATATTTATTGTTGTTATAATATTTAATAAAACATAAATGAAGTTCACATTATTCTGCAATTTATTAATTTACAGAGAGATGTGAGTAATCTAAATATACATTGTATATATAAGAAAAGAAACATTATCTTTTTATACAAATACAATGATGATGGTAACACTCCATTTGATCAAATATACAATAGATATCGCACACTATATGATTATGTGATACAAATATAATATCAAAGTATAATTAAAAAAAACAACACAAAATAATAACTCATCAAGTGGTCTTATTAATAAAAGGGAATAATATTTTTACTAGAGGTTTGAGATTCTAGCAGTTTCATCTGTTGGATGTGTGTTGTTAATTGGTTCAATTTTTTAAAATAAATACTACGTTATAATCATCACATGCTAATAAAGAAAACAAAAACACTATTTACAGACAAAATACTAATTTATAAAAAAATATAAATATAAAATAAATTATTATCTTATATACTAAGAGTAAAAAGAAAACACTTCACAAAAATAAAATTATAATATAATCACATTTTCTACTATGAATTCAGAAATAAAATGTTAAGGTTTAGAGTTTAAAATTAAAATTTAGAATTTATGTTTTAATTATAACATTGATTAATAATAATATATTAATTAAAATTGAAGGTATAAGATATTGTAAATGTTAGGATCTAGATTCAAACCTTATATTTTACATTTCATATTTCCAAGTATTTTCTATCAATTAGGTGACTATAATTTACATAGTTTACTCTTAAAAAACGATAAAAATAACACAAATTATCTATATGTATAAATATAAATATAAATAAATGTTAGTATGTAAAAGTTATGTAAATATAACAATTTATTAGTTCTGCAATCATGAAAAATAATATGTTATAAAAAATATAATATTTTAGGTTGTATATAATTTAATATGTGATATTTTTTTATATATTTTCGACTGTAATTTTTATAATATTTTTAGTTTACAACTAAAAATATTATATTTATTCATCACATTTTCGTCGCGCATATTTTTTTCATTTTTTATTCTTAAATTATATTGCATCTCTTTATAATTTAACTAAATATTATGATGGATGAAGAAATATTAGATATAATCGTATTTTTTAAAAAAAAACATTTTTTATATAATTTAAGTATTTTATATTTTATATTGTTGATCTAATTTCACATCCTTTAAAATTTTATAATTTCACACTTTTTAATTTTAGTATGATTTTTTTAAATTTCACACTCTTAACATAATTAAGAGTGTAAAATTATATTAAAAATTATGATGAAATATATGAAAACTGTCAATAATATAATAATAAGTTAAATTATATTAAAAGAGCACGAATCACAAATTTGTGATGAATCGAATTTTGTGGATGCTATTCTAATGATTCAAAAGCGAGAACCAAAATATTGTCTAAAATAACCTCTATTAAAGTCAGTAGGCTTATTTTGGTTGCATTACGATGATATTGAGGGTTTGGAGTTTACTGGAGTTTCTAGTTGCCGACAATGAGCTTGAGCATTAACGACCATGCTAATTGATGTTTTAACAGTCGAGATGAAGCTATAGCAGTTGAGTTTCGACCTAGTAAAGACTTATTTGATGTTTTAGAGGGGTAAAATTAAATATTAATTTTTTTATTAACGTTGCAACTATGTCAATTTAACAGGAACGATGACAGAGTAACCAATTTGTTATAAATCGATAATATTATTGATCAATTTGTTACTCTTGAAATTTCAGTGGGAGAAAACGAAATTTACTCAAATATTAATTACCATTGGTGTAGTTTAGCCTTAAAAGAACACACACAAAATTTTAAATATTGAAACTAAAATTCTAAACTAGCAACTAGATAGAATTAAGTAAGTCTTAATGTAAGTTAAAGCATAACTAATTTATTACAAAAAGTGTAGTTTTATGCGACTTTTAAGTTACAATTTTATTTTATATTTTAAATTAGAAAACAAACATATTTTCCAATAAAAAGTTGAAAATAGACAACTAAGAATCTAACTCCACTACAAATTTAAATATTTTGCAGATGAATAAGGTTCAAACAAATCATAATTTCATAAATAATAAAAATAAAATTATGGTAAAGTACAAAGATGGTTACTAAACTATACTTAAATGGTTTTTTGGTCACTGAAGTTTTAGAAGTTATAAAATAATCATTAAATTTATCGAACTATTATAAAATAATCATTTTATATTATTAAATAATGATAAATTTTGATAAGTTTAATGATTATTTTATAATATTTTGATAATTTTAATGTTCATTTATACTAATTTGATAGAATTTAATGACGATTTTGTAATCATTGAGAACTATAATGACCATTTTATAATTTTTAAAATAAAATGACTAAAAAGATAATATCAGTATAGTGTAGTGATCATTTGTTTATTTTATCCTAATAATAATACTAAACCGACGGACCAATAAAAGAGGGTTTTGTATTAAGTCTTTTCAATAGAAGTTGCATTTTTTCTTTTTAAAGTTTCGCGGTTATATCCCCAAATTCTCCCATTTTTTCTTCTTTATCTCAGTGCCTATTCAATCTTCAAATTCCAATCAAAAACCTCAAAAGTTAAGGGAAATAATAGAGAAAAAAAATTATTGCTCATCGGAGAAGAAGCTCGCGTTTTACTTGATCACTTCTTCATCTTCTTCATATATATGTGTTTCCTCAATGTTCTCGATCGGTACTCGGTAAGCTTTTTCGTTTCCGTTTTTGAAATTATTTTTATTTACTTCGATTTCTTCTTCTAGATTCGGTTTTCTAAAGAAACAATTTCTTTTTTTCTTTTTAGTTTTTTTAGGTTTAATTGAAGCAATTGGACAGTGAATTGAGTGAGTTTTTTTTTCTGTGCTACTAGTGAACAATTTTGTTTTTGAACTGCTAATTTGTTTCCTTTGCAGTGTTTTTTTTCTTTCGCTTTCTCGGCAACCTCTGAGCCAAACATCACTTAATCGCGGTGGTGCTTTGATTAAGTAAACATAGCTGACCTGATCTCTGGAACTTTATTCTTCTGCAATTTTATTGTTTATTGATTTTGACTTTCGTAGATTATGGATTCTTCGTTTTTGACAAAGCTTGATTTTTTTCCTGAGCTTTTTTTTATAGCTAGAAATGAAATTTTTGTGATGTTAAATTTGAAATTCATATTGAATATTTTATTTAAGATCTTTCCTTTTTATTCTTTATTTTTATGGAGAAAAATGATTGACATGAACTACGTTTCTTGATTCTGGAAATTGATTCAGTAATTAGTTGTTTTGATTTTTTACTATGTTACAGGTAGTTGAGGAAGCCCCGCATGGCTCCGTCTAGGAAATCTAAAAGTGTAAATAAGAAGTTTTCTTATGTTAATGAAGTTGCTTCTAGTAAAGATGGAGATACTAGTTCTAAGAGAAGTGGGAAACGGGTGAGTTCTTGATTAGTTTTTCAAATATTTTTTTGATGCATTCATCTCTTTATTTTCTGTTCTTTCATTTCGTTAGGTTAAATGGGTTAAGATTTTTTTGCTCATTCTTCTTTTTCTTTGATTACATTTTTATTATTTACTGTTCTTGGAGTTGTTTTCTTTGAGATTGTGTTTAATCAGTTTTGGATTTAGTTTATTTATTCCTGGTCGACCTTGATGAGTTTCCACCTTTTATGTGTTTAGATTTAAGCTCATTTGGTAGCAAGGTATCAAACTTTAAATTAGTGTTGAGTACAAAGAGGGTTTGACTAAGTTGTTGTGTTAAGATGTAATCAAGTGTGAACTATGAAGTATTGTTCGTAAAAGAATCAACCACTTACCGGAAATTTAAGAGTTGCCACTTGAGGTTTGCAATTCAAAATTTCCTTTGTCTAGTGTCTATAGATCTGTTACACCATTGCTAGATGGGATATAGAAAATCAGAGAATAACCATAACACTCTAACCAAGTGTCAATGGTAAAATAAAAGGAAGAGGCTTCCTTTGCATGTCAATAAATTTCTTTAATATTTTTTTGATATCTTTCTACACTTCATAAAAAAAGACCTGTGAAAATTTTAATCTGGTATAATTTTTTTTTATAATGCTAATGTCTTATGTGCAGAAAAGGAACTTATCTGACATGTTGGGGCCTCAATGGACCAAGGAAGAGCTTGAGCGTTTCTATGAAGCATATCGTAAGTATGGAAAAGATTGGAAGAAGGTTAGTTGTGATAGTTTACTGAGTATCTTTATTGTTTGCTGACTTGTGATTAAACTTTGTTTAGATGGCACACGTTCTAGGTATTGCTACTCTAATTTTCTATATATATATATAAAATTAAAAAATCTACTTTAATATAGTTTTTTTATGGTCATGTAGTTGTGATATCTGGCTTTTGGTTGTTGTGATAGTTTACTGAGTATCTTTATTGTTTGTTGACTTGTGATTAAACTTTGGTTAGATGGCACACGTTCTAGGTATTGCTACTCTAATTTTTATATATATATTTATAAAATTAAAAAATCTACTTTAATATAGTTTCTTTTATGGTCATGTAGTTGGGATATCTGGCTTTTGGTTGTTGTGGTTTTACCATTTCCGCTTTTGCTTCTTTTGGTTTTCTAGGTTGCTACTATGATACACAATCGATCCATGGAAATGGTTGAGGCACTTTACACTATGAACAGGGTAAGCATGGTTTTAGTATCATAATACTCTATATTTTTCTTTATTTCGTGGTACTTCTTTGCCTTATTCCTGTACTCTTTCAACAATATTTTTTTCTTTCCCTTCTTAGCTTTCAAGTACAAGACATTTGAGTTGCATTAACTTTTCCATGTTGCCATCTAGCCGATCAATAAGCTTTCTCTTCTGACTTAAATACTGAAATTACACGTCATATTTGACACTTTTTTTTCTTAAATATTATTGTTATCTACTAATGAAGGAATGCTATTTTCATCTTAATCATGTGTGACTGACAATATCATGAAGGTGCTTGGATGTTTTTATGTTAAACTCAAGAACAGAAATTATACCATATTTTCAGGCCTACTTATCACTTCCTGAGGGCACAGCTTCGGTGGTTGGACTGATAGCAATGATGACTGATCATTATTCTGTTATGGTGAGTGTCTAATTTATCTTGTGTGATTATTTATAATTTGCATGGACCTGAGGTATTTTGACTAGATTTGGACTTATACTCTGCAACTTTTATTATTTAGTCCTCTGTATGTCACCTTTGTGACATTGGTATATTTTCTTATTGCCCAAAGGTATACTTGTCCAGCTCTTTAGTTGACTGGATTGTACTTTATGATCTGGTGTTTTGGATTCTATTAATGGAGAATGGATGCATCTAGGAAATGCAACCGATTATGGAATTGAAGTTGGGAAATATAATATTTTTAAAGTAAAATATTTTTGGTATGGCTTTTATGGAACTGAAGTTACTGGATTGTGAGATGGCAGGGAGGAAGTGACAGTGAACAAGAAAGCAATGAGGGCATGGGAGTTTCTCTGAAACCTCAGAAGCGTAGCAGGGGAAAACTTCGAGACCAACCTTCTAAAAGTTTAGAAAAGCCGCTTCTAGATCTATTGAAATTTCATTCATCTGCATCAAGTTGCATGTCATTGTTAAAGAGACGTTCTGGTAAGATCTCTCTCACTCTCTTCCTAGTCTTCCTATGTTATTGTTGAGGCCGTATTTGCATTTTGGATCTTAGAAGAAGAAATAAGGCTAGTGTAATAAAGGTCTATTTTTTCGGCAATGGATATGATGCTTTGAAATTTAAGCTCTTAACATTAGACTGCTGTACTTGTTTCTCACTAGTAGTCTTTTCTTGTTTTCTTCAATCAATTCAGAAAGTAGGCCCCGTGCTGTTGGAAAAAGGACTCCCCGTGTTCCTATTTCTTTTTCTCATGACAAAAGCAAAGGGGAAAGGTATTTTTCACCTATTCGGCAAGGAATGAAACTAAAGGCAGATTCTGTTGATGATGATGTTGCTCATGAGGTAGCACTAGCATTGACTGAAGCATCACAAAGAGGTGGCTCTCCCCAAGTTTCTCGGACACCAAATAGAAAAGCAGAGACACCATCACCTGCCATCAACAGTGATAGGATGGTAATATATTTTATTTGATGTTCCCAATGCTTCCTCGCTACTCTCGTACATATTGATGTTAATTGATTTCTTCCTTCAGAATGCTGATTCAGAAACTACTAGTGCCAAGATTCATGGTAGTGAAGTGGATGAGGATGCTTGTGAATTAAGCTTAGGAAGCACTGAAGCAGATAATGCAGATTATGCTAGAGAAAAAAACTATTCAAGGAATAGAAGGCACCGATACTGTTGAAGTTCAACAGAAGGTAAAAGATACCTTAGAAGGAAGCCAGAGGTTGAGGAAAGTGTAAACAACATTTGGAAGACACAAAAGAAGCCTGTAGTGGGACGGAAGAAGGACATCAATTATGTGAGTTCAAGGGAAAGTTCAATGCTGAGGTTGCGGATGCTAAAACTTCTAGAACCTTGATTAAGGGTTCACGGAAAAGAAGTAAAAAGGTGTTGTTTGAAGGTATGATAGTTTTTGCCTGTAAGAAGAGTATTATTTCCCTGTTTTCAATTCCTTTTCTTTTTCCTTCCTTGTTATGACTTTTATCTGAAACGCTACTTTATCAAAGGTAATTGGTAATCCAATGATGTTGAATACATTATCTTTTGGTTATTGCTTATTTGTTTTAATTATGGTTATGCTTCTTGTACCTATGTTATCTGGAGATTGAATGTTGGCTTGTTTCTCTCAGAAAAATATTTTTCTCGGTCTGTTTCCTAGACAACAATTTTGTACAATCTACACCCAGATCCACATTGATTTCCTTGCAACATTCAAAGACAATTTTTCCAAAATCTTGTTAGACTATTAATCATAAATGATCATTTTTTCCCAGCTTCTCATTGTGAATTTATTTGAGTGTGCTTTGACTTTAACCTTACTGTTTATTTTAATCTTTGAAACTCTGTCTTGTGTCATGAATTGTGTTTGACTCTTATTTTATTTATATTGTAGTTGAAGACACTTCCTTTGATGCCCTGCAAACTCTAGCAGATCTGTCCTTGATGATGCCAGAGACTGCTCCTGACACTAGTAAGATACAGACCATTAAATAGAAACTATTAAATAATGGGCCTTGTTAGATGCATACATGGCTTGTTAAAGAATTGTCTATCTTGTAGTTTGGCCAAACAACTGACAATTAATGCATCTAACGAAACACCAAGCTATTAGATTGAATTTACAGCGTGTTGCCTTGTTCCATTATTTCTATGCACGTGACAACCTCTATAGCTAACAGCTAGATAATACCAAGTTTGCAAGTTGTCTATTTAGTAATTCTGAGTTGCTACGTTGTTTTTGCCAGATTCAGCTTTCTGTCATAATTTATAGATCTGAGTTGAAGTGAGTAATGAGTAATGTGATTAAACAATACCTGCAAGAGAAATGTTAGAACTTAGAAGATTTGAGTGGTCAAGATATTTTGGGCCATTATAAGCAGTATCTTGTGCCCAAACATATTTTTTCTTCCAGGATTATAGGCATGACTCAAGTAAGATTTTCAATGGCATTTTCATTCTCCAGATAATCTTTTCATTGAAGTGCAAGCTTGTGATCTTAGAAAAAATATAAAAACCTATTCAAATTTTGAACATAAGAATTCCATTTGTTCTTTCTAGCTTGAACTACCACCATAAGTCTCTTCTTGATGACTCAAACTTTTGAATATCTATTTGTTTGGATGTGTTTATGTAATGTGCCATATCCCACCTATTTCTTTTTCCACGTCAGAGTCATCTGTGCAGTTTAAGGAAGACAAAAATGAAGTTGAGAAGACTAAACTGAAAGGAAATCATCCTGTTCCTGGAGCGAAAGGCAATGCCTCCAAAACATCTAGGCATGGAAAAAAATTTGGTCACGATGTTCATGCTATTCCAGAAGCAAAGGAGGAAACACATCTGGGTAATGTTGGATTGCAAAAAAGACGACAGAAACCCTCACCCTATAAAGTAAGAGTTGATGCTATCTGTTTGGTTGTTTTATTTTTGTAGATAAATACTTTATTTTTTTATTGGTTTGTTTGGAAAGAAAATTCCATTGGGTTTATAACATGAAACAATGACCATATGCAATTTGCACTCTACTCTAGTCGCAGATTCCAAATATGAAAATGATGATGATTCTCAGTTGGGTGAATCTCCAAACATCGAGGTTTGTATTTTCACTTGTTCAGCTTCAAAGAGTTAAGATGGATCACAAACAAGTTCTAAATGTTCAATGTAAAATTTCATTTCAGTTCCCTTATTGATATGATGGAATCGTAATATACTTTTCTTCTACAGAATATTTGATGGGCATTTTACTAATTAGGCCTTCTTACTTCTGAGAGTATGTATATTGAACTGTACAAAGTGGGTGCATGTTTAAACCTCTTGCCTTTTTGTTGTGAGTATATGTGGCGCCTACAGCCTGAGTTTGAATGGAAAACAGAATAAGCAATATAGTAATAAATGTTACAAGAGAATGCTATGAAAGTATTAAATAAGTCTATTACTAAGTGAAGATGAGGGGATTCTTATCAAAAAAAGAAAAAGATTAGGGGATAAATTGGAAAGGAATAGTTCTTTCAACATGGTGCCTGGAGAAACTGAATAAATTGGTAAAGTTTTGAGTTGATGATGGAGACCATTTAGGAAGAATGTCTATTTTAGACCTAAATTTATGAAGTAAGTACATGATCAACTCAGTTTAATTTCAACTGAGCTGTGGGTTTTCCAAGGGCACTCTATGTTGGTAATAGATGTCTAGCCTGTTTAGTAATTGTTCTTTCCTCCCTCTTTCAACCATTGCATTTGAGGTCTTATTTGTAAGTTAAATATCTACCAATTTGTTTGAGTAGAAAAAACATAAATTTATATGCTTTAGCTTCATGTTCTTCCATTCATCACATATTACTGTTTGTTGATATTGCTATTTTTATCTGCATTTTTTAGATTTCCAATGAGGCTAAGAATCTTCTGAGCAAAGGTAAACGGTCTAATAATATTGGGCATCCTAAGCAAGGGAAACCTTTGAGACCTCCAGAGCATGCATCCTCTAGTTCGGATAAGGGAAGGGACTTGAACAATTCAGCTCCATCTACTATACAGGTTTCATCTGTTAACCAGGTCAACCTGCCAACAAAAGTCAGGAGTAAGCGAAAGATGGATGCACAGAAACCAGCAATTAGGAAGGATATACAGTCCTCTGATAATATTGTAAAGGGCAAAACTAGTGTGCCAGTCACGTTATTCCATGACAGAGCACTCAATCTGAAGGTAACACTATTTACTTACAATTACTAGAACCTGAGTTTCTATATATTGGGTTTTTTCTTCATGTTTATGTGTATTCTGTATGACAGGAAAAGCTTTGTAACTTCCTAAATTCATACCTAGCACGGAGATGGTGTATCTTTGAATGGTTCTATAGTACAATTGATTACCCATGGTTTGCTAAACAGGAGTTTGTGGAGTATTTGGATCATGTAGGATTAGGTCATATTCCTAGATTAACTCGTGTTGAATGGGGTGTAATACGAAGGTACAACTTTCTACTTTGGAATGTTTGTAAGGATTTTCATTGTGGTGCTCTACTTATACAATATCATCTTGATCCAGTTCCCTTGGAAAACCGAGGCGATTCTCCGAGCAATTTTTAAAAGAAAGGGAGAAGCTTAATCAATACCGGGAATCGGTTAGGAGGCATTATGCCGAACTCTGTGCTGGAACTGGTGAAGGACTTCCAACTGATTTAGCTCGACCTCTATCGGTTGGACAACGTGTCATTGCCATTCATCCAAAAACTTGGGAGATTCATGATGGAAGTGTGTTAACTGTTGATTATGGTAGATACCGAATTCAGTTTGACAACCCTGAGCTAGGAGGGAATTTGTCATGGTAACTTTTATTTTATAGGGTTGCTTCATATATAGCTGCATGTTATTTCGCTTGACTGCTGATGTAGACTATCATCATTACGCCCTTCAGTCGATGGATTAATGACAGGCTGAGGCTTTGGGAGGTTCCTTGGATCTTTTCTGTCTAAATACACGAGTTGATGTACTTATACCTGTTTGGTTATTTGTGTGTACTATATAATTCTGTGCCTTTTACTAGATTTACTTAGCTTGTTCCCATTTATACTTTTGTCCTTATTTCCTATCAACTTTTATGATTATATGTTTTCTGTTGCAGGATATTGATTGTATGCCTTTAAATCCTTTGGAAATTTGCCTGCTTCCCTTTTGAGACAAAATGATGCCATCTTTGTTGAGAACTACAATGAGCTCAAAATGAATGGGCAGTCAAGAAAAAGATGGAAGAGATCAAATTTGCACAATGTGATAACCTGGAGAATGCTAATAGTCCCTCTCGTACTTCCCCATCAACTTTCGGTGTTGGCAATTTGTCACAGCCAGTTAAGGTAAGTTATTACTGCAAAATAGATCTCATTTCGCCGATATCAAATAAAATCAATTCTAGGTGATTATAAATAAAAAACTTCTATCTAAGGTAATGATAAATTCCTTTGGCCAGGTTGATCACCAAGTCCTAATTTGGAACTTAAAATTGGGCCTACTGAAACTGTTTTATAGTCAACAAGCAATGAATTCACAGCCTTCTGCCCTGTCGCTGGCACAGGCTAGGGAGGCTGATGTTGAAGCTCTTTCTCAGTTGACTCGTGCTCTTGACAAAAAGGTTCCTATTAGCTGTTATGCATTAAACTTATTCCAGTGGCGGATCTTTCTATCTCCCTTTCTATTTTTAAACATGAAGTTCTTATATTCTTGTGCAGTGTATGTTGCATAATTTTAATACTGAGCAGGTTTCAAATCGCGGTCGCGGTCGTGTTTTCGGTTATTCGGATTTACCGTGATTGCGGCCATCGCGGACGCTATTGCGGCCGTCGCGGTAACTCGGATGGCGGCGAAACCGCTATATTGCGGCCGAAATCGCGGTCGCGGACTGTTTTTTAAACCCTGATACTGAGCATATTCTTTTTCCCTCTTTTTTCTACCCTTTTAATAAAATGGTAATTTAACCTCTCTTACCTCCAAAATTGATGATTTTCTGCGATTTTTTGGGCATCAATGCTGTGAGTTTCATTGTTGTGTAATTTCAGTTCCATGTCTATTGTATTTATCTGAGGCGGACAGAGAATCTGTTCAATAATTTTGTTCAGTAATGTGAGAGCAGTGCACTGCGACGTATGAATGATGAGGTGTTAGCATTTGCAGGAGGCTGTGGTGTCTGAACTGCGATGTGAATGGTGAGGTGTTGGAAAACCAGAAAGGTGGAGACAACTACCTAAAGGATTCAGATTCTTTCAAGAAGCAATATGCTGCCGTTCTCTTACAGTTAAATGAAGTCAATGAACAGGCATGAGACGTCGATAAAGTTGTTTTCCTTTAAATCTGTACACTATTGTCATTTACCATTTCATCCTAATTTCTACATGCAGGTTTCTTCCGCTTTGTTTTGCTTGAGGCAACGTAATACATATCAAGGGACCTCCTTGGGTAAGTTGCTGAAGCCCTTGGCTAAAATTGGTGAGCAGGGCTCTCAGTTGAGCTCTTTCGGTCATGCTATGCATCATGTCCAAGAATCTGTATCCCATGACTG